CTACAGTCACAGGATATTTCAAGAGAAGGCTCACAGTCCCCTAGGACCTTGTCGACCTTGGGAGCTAGGGGAAACTGTTCTCCTTTTTAGTCTATCTGTCCACATTTGCATAGCCTCCAAAACTGGTTACTGAACAGCCAGAAGGTTGTTAAACCAGTCTGGTACTTTTAACTACTGAATATATTTCAATAACCAACCATTTCTAAATAAACTCTGATTAGACATACACATTTTAGCCAGTCCTTTTAATTGTTTGATATTTTAATAACTATATATAACTATTTATAACATCTCTAAGTTTCATTCTTTATGTACTTTAAATAACTTACACAGACCTTCATAATTTGTATAAGCTTTCTAGGTTTCATTCTGGAAACATACAACCATCTTAATTTTCATATATATATATATATATATATTTTTCTTTATAAAAAAACAAGTTTCATTTTTACATCCTTTTAACTTTTTTTTTCTTTTTTTCTTTTTTCTTTTTCTTTTTTTTTTTTTTTTTTTTTGGTTTTTCGAGACAGGGTTTCTCTGTGTAGTCCTGGCTGTCCTGGAACTCACTCTGTAGACCAGGCTGGCCTCGAACTCAGAAATCCGCCTGCCTCTGCCTCCCAAGTGGTAACATTTTATTTTATTTACTAGTTCCCTTTCTGAATACCACAAGACATAATAGCATTAACAAGTGAATTTACTATTTGTTGTAAAAAATTTCTCCCAAGCAGGGAGAAGGAGCTAAGCAATGTCTGCCCTCTCCCATAAGGTCCCAAAGACAAACCAAGGTTCAATTTCATTAAAGTTCACCCTAGAGAACTAATGAGTTTATTGAGCTTACTGGGTGTGGGTGAGGGACTACTGTGGGGAGTGTTGGTACCCAAAAGTAGCTACACTGGAGAGTCTTTGCCCATGTATAAAATTGAGGATATTGACTAGTGTTTCCTGAGTGTATTGAGAGTCAAGGAGAAGTGAATGAAGCTGAGTACAATGATCAGGACAGGAAGAAGTCTGATGTTAGCACAGTCTTGGCTAAGAAACAGATTGTGACTGGCATGGTGGCATATGCCTTTAATCCCAAAGCTGGTGAGGCAGAGACAGGCAGATGAGTTTGGGGCCAGCTTGGGTTATATAGAGAGTTCTAGCCAGTCAGGGGTACATAGTGAGACCCTATCTGGAAAGAGAGAGAGAGAGAGAGAGAGAGAGAGAGAGAGAGAGAGAGAGAGAGAGAGAGAGAGGAAGGAGAAGGAAAGGAAAGGAAAGGAAAAGAAAAAAGAAAAAAGAAAAGAAAGGCAGGCAGGCAGGCAGGCAGATTCTGTGACAGAAATAAATATAAGCTGTTTAACTGATTGTTCAGTTTGTCCCAAAGTTGCATATGGGTGGCCTGAAAAAATAGTCTCAGAAATTTAGATAGACTATTCTATTCTAGGTTCAGACCAAAACAAAAGGAAAAGAACAACACAGGAACATTTCTAAAATGGTTATAAGATTTGCTGGCCAACTGGTTGGTTGCAAAAAGAAAAGAGGAAGAGAGTTTAAATATGTTGAAAGTCAGAATGGAGAGGATACAGAGATGCACACAACCTTAAAGAGCAGTCTAGTTTTAACAAGGGAAAAATAGATGCAACAAATATTTGCACTGTATGTTTCACAACACATTGGTGTATTTCATAAATAAACTTTGGTTTGCTGTTAAACAACATTCTGAGTGGTTTATACAAGGCGCAGGTAATAATTATAAGGAGAACAGACCAAACTTTGGCAGTAAAAGGAAGGAAAAAGCAACAAATGACCAAAGGTGGAAAGAGAGTGGAGGGAGGAAGGAAGAGGAACCTCATGTAAGTGATATTTGAGGAATGGCAGATGCTGCTGTGATAATCTTGGATCTGTAGGTTTGTCTGTTGGATAGACACAGTAACTATGAAGCATCAGTGATCTTCCGGTCTTCAGCCTGGTCCTCTCCAAGATGACTTCATTCTAGAGGATTGGTGTTATAAAAACATTTTATTGCTGAGTGGTTGCAATCTTCATTTTATAAGAATAATTAAACCTTTTCTTTATTGAGTAATTTAGTGTGATGCAAACAAGGTAACTAGATATGTACAACTTTTAGAAGTCTGTCACAGTACTCAGTGTCTGAGGAGCACAATTTAATTTTTTTTAGATTTATTTATTTTATGTTTATGAGTGTGCATCACATGAGGGCGTAGTGCTCTCTGCCTGCAGAAGTTAGAAGAGGGTGTCAACTGCCCTGGAGTTACAGATAGTTGTGAGCCATCATGTGGGTATTGTGAGCTGAACCTGGATCCTCTGCAAGAGCTCACCCATCTCTCCGTCTCTAACATAATTTAAAAATTAAAGAACCAGACTTTCTATATAGTAATATAGCTGAGCTTCTGCAGGACCTAGCAGTGGCTGCTATTGCTTGTTATTGCTGTGTTGAGGTCAGCAGCTGCTCTCTTTCGGCAGTCTGGGCCAGGTTGGACTCAGAATTTCTTAACACTAGACTGTGACCAGCCAAGGATGCATTCTACATCACCTTCCTATACTTTAGAGAAAGAGAAATGGGTCCTTCCTGATTAGAGACCAGGCTACAGCCCAGACTCCATCAGTCTTTTCAGTTTTTAAGTAAGTTTAAGTCCAGCATTTTAATTTCCCTGTGATCCCTGTGTGAACCCTTTTGTTTTGTTTTTCTAGACAGGGTTTTTCCTTGTAGCTCTGGATGTCCTGGAACTTGCTTTGTAGACCAGGTTGTTCACAGCTCACAGAGATTCACTTGCCTCTGCCTCCCAAGTGCATGTGCCACCAACTCCTGGCTTCTGTGTGAGCTTTAAAATGTTTTTACCCCTAGATGTTATTGGCATTATCTATAATATAGTAAAATGAAAAAAAATCCCTGTACTTATGTTTCTCATAATTATATTCTAAATTCTATATCATGTCTCCATTTTACCAGTCTCTAATATTTGTAGCTATTCCTCATCCCTTTCCCATTTGTTCTTGTTTCTCTGTGAATACAAAGGAGCACACCAATTCTGGTTTTTTTCCTTTGTTATTTTTGTTTTGTTTTGTTTTGTTTTGAGACAGTGTTTTTCTGTGTAGCCCTGGCTCCTGGAACTCACTTTGTATTCCAGGCTTACCTTGAGGTAAGAGATCAGCCTGCCTCTGCCTCCCAAGTACTAATTTTGTTTTCTAATTCTTTGTCAGAGTCTTCCCTTCCTGCACCTGCTCTTCCTCATTGAAAGTGGAATCTAGGGCTCTAGACATATTAGACAATATCAGCTATATACCCAAGCCCCTCTTCTTATGTCAAAGTTGCACTCAATTAAAATATGTTATTGGGAAATGTAAATAAACTTGTATTTTATTTAGTTCTCAATATTATCTGTATAGCTGTATTAAGCTGCAAGTTATAGAAAACCTAATTTAGAGTAACTTCTAGGAAACATGTAAATCAGCTGCTGAAACTGCAAGTCCAGCAATAGGCCAAGCTCCAGGGTTAATGTGATACTATTAAGAATTTGGTTTCCTTCTTTCCGTACCACAGACAGAGTCTTACCTTCCTCACAGGATAGCAGAGTGGTTGTCAGCCATGTGCTTTTCTCCTGATCCTAGTGATATTTAGCAGCCCACTCTTGCACTCCATTTTTCTATTATCTATAGATTTTTTAAAAAATTATATGAATTTTTCATACAGTATATTTTGATCATATTCTTTACCCTCTCTAGCTCTTCTTAGATCCCTCTCACCAAATAAAAAAATAAAAAGCAAGCCGGGAGGTGGTGGCCCACGCCTTTAATCCCAGCACTAGGGAGGCAGAGGCAGGCGGATTTCTGAGTTCGAGGCCAGCCTGGTCTACAGAGTGAGTTCCAGGACAGCCAGGGCTACACAGAGAAACCCTGTCTCGAAAAACAAAAATAAATAAATAAATAAATAAATAAATAAATAAATAAAATAACAACAAAAATGGAAATTATAATAGATGAGCAAACTTTAAAAAAGTCAATAATAACTAAAGAAAATGTACATGAAAAAGTACGGAGTTCATTCTGTTTGAGCCAGCTGTTCATAGGCATGGAGCCTGTCCTGGAGTGTGATTGACATGCCCTGTGACATTACATTGGAGAAAACTACTAATTTTTGCTTTCCCAGCAGTTATCAATTGCAAGTAGTTTCTTGGTTAGGGGTGGGACTTTGTGCCCACTTCTTCTCAGTGCTGGGCTTTGGTCTGGTTTGAGTCTGTGCAGGACATATGTATGCTGTCACAGTCTCTTTGAGTTCATATGTCTATCAGTCCTGATCTGTTTGGAAACACGTTATTCTTGGAGTTATCCACCACTTCTGGCTATTAAAATCTTTCCACCTCCTCTGCCATATACATCTCTTAACCTTGAAAGGAGGAATTTGTTAGAGATATACCTTATAGGGCTGAGTGCTTCAAAGTTGCTCACGCTCTGCGCACTGTCCAGCTGCAGATCTTTTTGTTAATTAACATCCACTACAAGAAGAAGCTTCTCTGATGAGAGTTAAGCAGTTCCATTCTGCATCCCCAGCCTAGTGTGGCAACTTTGGGCTCCTGGTTGTATCCATAAATCTTAATTGAGTTATGTGTTCTCAGGGGATAGAATTGCTCTGGATTGCTCAGGCTAAGAGTCTGCTTTCCTTAATACACAAGCCCATGGGAAGCGGTACAGAAACCCTATTCAAAACGCCTCAGATTTTGCCTATCACTCAGATATGCTTATCACTGCAGATACCCCATCTCGGGCCCCTGTCAGCCACTAGCAACCCTTTTTAAGAGCTCCAAGGGCTCCCCTACTGGGAGCTCCCAAACAATGCAAATGAGCTGTTCTTGGCTTCTCTTACTGAGAAGATACCTAGAGGAGGAAGAATTTGGATGAAGGGTGACAGCCATAGCATCCTCAATGCCATATTTGGAAGACATTTGAGTTTCATTATAAAAATTTTTTTTTCAATTTTTTTCTTCATCTTTTTTCTTTAGGGACTATTCCAACAACTAAACGAACAGGCATTCCGGCTCCACGGGAACTCTCAGTAACTATCTCCAGAGAGAGGTCTGTGCCGCGTGGTCCCTCCAGCTCAAAGAAGTTGGGCTCCAGTCCAACTTCCTCCTGCAATCCCACTCCTACCAAACATCTAAGGACCACCCCTGCAAAACCTAAGCAAGAGCATGAAGGTGCAGAGAAGGCTGTGCTCGAGTCCCAGGTACGGGAACTTCTGGCAGAAGCCAAAACCAAAGACAGTGAAATTAACAGGCTTCGAAGTGAACTAAAAAAATGTAAAGAGAGGTGGGCCCTGAGCACGGAGGACACCAATGCTTCAGACCCAAGTGCAGAGGGAACATCAGCCCCAGTAAGTGACACAGAGCCTTTGATAAGAACCCTGGAGGAGAAGAATAAGAGCTTTCAGAAAGAACTCGCTGACCTAGAGGAAGAAAACAGGGCCTTGAAGGAGAAACTGACTTACCTTGAGCAGTCACCAAATTCAGAAGGAGCAGCAAGTCACACTGGTGACAGCAGCTGCCCAACATCTATAACCCACGAGTCCAGCTTCGGAAGCCCAGTTGGAAATGAGTTGTCCAGTGAAACGGATGAGTACAGAAGAAGCACACATGGGAGTGCATTGCGGACATCAGGGTCTTCCAGCAGTGATGTTACTAAAGCCTCTCTGTCACCTGACGCCTCAGATTTCGAGCATATCACTGCAGATACCCCATCTCGGCCCCTGTCAGCCACTAGCAACCCTTTTAAGAGCTCCAAGGGCTCCCCTACTGGGAGCTCTCCAAACAATGCAAGTGAGCTGTCCTTAGCTTCTCTTACTGAGAAGATACAGAAGATGGAGGAGAATCAGCACAGCACTGCAGAAGAGCTGCAAGCTACTCTGCAAGAATTATCAGACCAGCAGCAGATGGTGCAGGAACTGACAGCTGAGAATGAGAAGCTAGTGGATGAGAAGACCATTTTGGAGACCTCCTTCCACCAGCACCGAGAGAGAGCAGAACAGCTGAGTCAGGAAAATGAGAAACTCATCAACCTTTTACAAGAGCGAGTGAAAAATGAGGAACCTAGTGCCCAAGGAGGAAAAATCCTTGAGCTGGAGCAGAAGTGCACAGATATTCTTGAGAAGAGCCGCTTTGAAAGAGAGAAGCTGCTCAACATTCAGCAGCAGTTGACCTGTAGCCTACGGAAGGTTGAGGAAGAAAACCAAGGAGCTATAGACATGATTAAGCACCTGAAGGAAGAAAATGAAAAGCTGAATGGGTTCCTAGAACATGAACGGTGTAATAATAGCATGATGGCCAAAACTTTGGAGGAATGTAGAGTTACCTTGGAAGGCTTGAAAATGGAGAATGGGTCCTTGAAAGCTCATTTGGAGGCCGATAAGCAAAAAGCCATAGAGGCCAGCAGTACCGTGGGGCAGGCAGCAGAGAACTTCGAGATTCAGGAAATGCTGAAAGTGGCTCGAGCTGAGAAAGATCAGTTGCAACTGTCTTGCACTGAGCTCAGACAAGAATTGCTAAAGGCAAATGGTGAAATTAAACATGTTTCCAGCCTGCTAGCTAAGGTAAGAAGATAGTTCTCAACTAGTATTTGTTGACATTTCTCTTCGAGACCTTAACATTGTGAACCAAAGAGAATCAATTATTCAACTGTATTTGTGAATCCAAGCATTCTATTAGAATTTAGGCAGGTTAGCCCTGGGGATTTCAAAGTAAAAAAACACCCAGATTTCTGTACAGATAGATAAAAGATTAATGGAAATATTGTAAATTACATCAGATGGTATGGTGTAGGGGTGGGATGTGTCTTGGTGGTAGATTACTTTCATAGCCTCCTTGAGGATTTAGATTTGATCCCTAGCACCACACAAAAATAGAATAAAATAAAATTTAGAACCATCCTGTATACATTGATGGACTTTTTGATGCATTTAATACTGTCTGAGCATATTCTAGCACTGGCTTTTTAAAATGTTTTCAATGCCAGCAAGTATTTATCATGCGGCTGTTTTTTATATTCACTAGGCCACTGATATTGCCATGTGTGTATTATTGGTTGTTTATGTCCTTTCTGGTCTTAGACTATTAAAAGTAAATTTTTATATATCTCTGAATATTTCTTCAGGAGAAATTCCTAGACGTTGACTTAGTGAGTCAAAGAGTATAAACATTTTAAAGACTTTCAACACATTTAGCCAAATTGCCTGCCAGAAATATTATGCCAATTTGTTCCCACCAGTTCATGAAAGTACTTGCATCCTTGAGCCCTTGCCAAAACTTGGTACTAAATTATGTCATTCAAATCTGTTACTCATTTCCTGAAAATTTTTTAGCTTAGAGCCCAAGATTAAATAAATGATCATGGCTTTCATTTTTAAAATAACTCTTTGATTTGGCTGGAATGTTGTTGTGTGATTCAGGGTTATTGGTTGTGACTGTGTGATAGTCATCTGCCTCACAGAGTACATGCTGGCTCCTTGTTCCTGTCTTTCCAGCTCTGGATCTGTGACTTGGGAAACTCCTGGGAGAACGGGGTGGGGAAGGCATCCTCCCACTTTATTTGATAGCTGTCAGTGATCCAAAAAAGCAGGTTATGCTGTGAGCTCTTGGGGACATTTCTACTGCTGCTTCCTTTGTTTTGGGATCCGTCAGTTGCTGTCCAGTTCTGTACTCAGCTGTTTTCTGTTTCCGTGGTAGGTTGTGTGAGGAGATTGTATCTTTGTATTGTGAATTCACATGTATTTTATTGAAGGAATGGAAGCATTAGTGGTTATGAGCCAGGTGCTCATTTGAATTGAATGTTGATAAACGAAACTTTTAATTAAGTCACCTTGTAAAATAAGAATGTTCTCTTTTGTTTAAAGATCATTCGTTATTTTACAAAATATTTATTCTCCCAGATGGACTCTCTTTAAACACACACACATTTTTAAGATTTATTTTATATGTATAAGTGTTTTGCCTACATGTGTATATATGCACCACATGTGTGTCTAGTGCCCACAGATGCCAGAAGAGATCATCAGATCTCCTGGAACTAGAGTTACAGATAGTTGTGAGCAGCCATGTAGGTGCTGGGAGTAGAACCTGTGTCCTCTGCAGAACAATAAGTGATCTAAACCACTGAGCTCTCCAGCTCCCCATGACCTTGAAGTCTTTCTTCAATCACTCTGGCATTTTCAGTATTTTTTCTAGTCAAATGATTACATATTCATTATGGAAGATTTTAGTAAAATATGGAAAAGTATAGAAAATAAGATAAGCATTGCCTTTAATCCTACTACCTGGAGAAAAATCCACCAACATTTTCTCACTTGGTATATACCTAGGTATGCATACAAATCTATATAGACAGAATTATAATATTTTATCTTTCTGTATAAAAGATTTCTCCTGAAGAAATATTCAGAGATATATAAAAATTTCTGTATGTATGGTCACAATCCATAAATACAGTAAATTAGTCAGATTACTGTAAAAGTTCCACTTGTAACCTTTTTTTTTCCTCTCTAGAGATAGGCTTTTTTTGTGTGGCATTGGCTGCCCTGGAACTGGTTCTGTAGACCTAACTGCCCTCTATCCTCTAAGTGCTGGGATTAAAGGTGTGAAGCACCATGCCTAGCCTAAACTATAAGTTAATTTATTTCTACCTTTATTCTTTTTACAAGAATTTTTATAATTTGTTTTCCTTCCCGATTTCTTGAGTAAAATTCTTTAACTTTACCCTACCCTTGTTAGATTTTTTTTTTTTTTTTTTGGTTTGGTTTTTCGAGACAGGGTTTCTCTGTATAGCCCTGGCTGTCCTGGAACTCACTCTGTAGACCAGGCTGGCCTCGAACTCTCAAACTCAGAAATCGGCCTGCCTCTGCGTCCTAAGTGCTGGGATTAGAGGCGTGCGCCACCACCGCCCGACTAGAGTTTTCTTACTCATAAATTTAATCTATTTTAAGGACATAGAAAAATGTATATTTTCTGTGAGCACAGCATTACAAATATATACTTAAAATTATTTTTAAATAATTAAACTGTTATTCACATAGTACCATATATTTACTGATTTTCTGCTAACTCGAATTATTATGTACAGTAGGATTCTAGCCAGTGTTTAGTTAAGAGCCTAAGGGGGAAAAACATATGAGGTATAATGCTACATACACAGGGTTTCTTTTATAGTGATTTTGCACTACCTTGTGTACAGAGAGTAGTACTCTTATATAAGTCATCAACACCACAAAACCAAATTCTAGACCTCTTAAACTGTTTTCTGTTGTGCTTACACTGGGAATTCAGAAAGAAAAAGGATTATTTGAGCTGCTAGTTCAAGATGCTAGAAGTTTAAAGTCAAGTATCAGTGTCTTAAGGGTTACAGTGGTTTCTGTTCATGATAGAATAGCAAAAGAACTACCTTGTGTGAGAACGCACAGTGAGAGAATAAACAGAGGTGCCAGCTTCCCTTTATAAGAGGAACCTATTATTCATTTAGTCCCTGAGCAAGAGAAAACCTGTGACACTGTACCCATACACTCATGAGGGTAGTACCCCTCCTAATCACCTCTAAAGAGTCTTACTTCCAGTATCTAATACTTTTCTCATAGCTGTATCAAAATATTTTATGAACACTTAAGAAAGGAAGGATTTATTTTGACTCACAGTTTTGAGCATGTTGAGGCCTAGATAAAATATTAAGGCCTAGGTAACTACTACCTGTCTAGCCTCATTTTGTGCTATTACTAATGTCATAAAGAAACTTTCTCATGTGATGTTACTGGGGTTACTAGGATGTTGTGTGCTTTGGTATTCTTGGAAACCAATGACAACAGAAGTCAGTTAGAACTGCTTTGTATAGTGAGCCACAATAAGCTTAGACCCAAACCAACCACCCAGCAGCGCTTCCTGTACCTGTGTATGAGCTTTTATGGTATTTGCTTTTATAAGCCGTCCCTAGGATGGACCCCAACATAAGAGAAACACCTCCACCAATATAAGAAACTATTTGGAACAAGACTTCCAGTTTGAGTAAGGGTCCAGTAAAATTTAAGTTCCCAAGACTTCCCTGGGAACTGACATCTTATTTGTCAGAAGGAAACTTGTATATGGATAACTGACATTCTAGTTGGTAAGTTAAGACAAGGCAAGTCCCCCACAGGTGAATAGCCCAAACTATGGGAGCAGGATAAATGTACAACAAAGACATGTTTCTAAGGGAGTCCCTTCCCCAAATCATGATTGGTGGGATAACTTGGCACAGATGTTTGTGGATTTTAGGCTTAAAAGCCCTGTAGGATCATAACTCAGTATCAGGGTTCAGCTCCCAAGTCTGGACCATGGCCTTGATGGATCTGTCCTGGGGCATATGGTCAATAAACTATCCTTATCTGACTGAGATCAGTATTCATGTGGTTTGTGAGGTAACTCCTGCACCCCAACAGAGGGTCCCATCCGTCACAGCATAGGAAGCATGGCAGTGGGCATGCAGCAGCTACTCACCCTGTAGTTGGGAAGTGGAGAAGGATGAATGCCATTCCTCATCTTGCTTTCCCTGTATTCAGTTCTAGACCCCAGCCCAGGAGATAGTGCTGTCTATATCTAGATTAGGTCTTCCCTCTTCAGTTAAACCTTTCTGGAAGCATCTTCATAGACACACCAGATATGTTCCATCATGATTCCAAATCTAGTCAAGTTGACAGTTAAAATTATCTATAATTCCTCCTAAAACTACCACACTGGAAATAAAATTTCAACATGAGACTCTGGGTGAAAACAAACCATATCCAATCCATAGCACTGACTGATGGCTTAGTGTATCCCCACTGCAGAGTATTGACTAATCCCTAACAACCGTGGATTCCAGTAATGTCACTGAAGGAACTCATTCCCAAAGGAAAACAGGACCTGAGATGAAGCTCACGAAGATTAAACTGTACAGCCAGCATGTCTGTGTGTCCCTCACCACATTCCTTTCCTAAATTTATTTTCTTTCTTCTATGTGTTATTACCTCTACTGAGGTAAGGCCACAGCACCATTCTCTTCCTTGAACTTGACCTCAGAACTTACCTGTGAGTAGCAGCGATGCCTCCATCCCTCTGTCCTTCGTATGTTTGAGGGCAGGACTTGCTGTCCACATCCTTCCTAGATACGGCCCTTCTTTTGCAGCTCACTGTTAGTTTTCAAAGGCAAATTCACATTACTGGCTTTTTCTCTGGGTAAAGATAGCCTTTTCCCCCTTTTAAATAGCAGAAATGTAAATATACTAGTATAACTTCTTTCTAGGCAGAATAGCATTGCAAAAAAAAAGGAAAGAAAAAAGATTTACGACAATAAGAATGCAATATGACGTCCTCTGTTTTCTGTAGAATGGAACAGAATGAGTTCTGCAATAGCCATGCTAGATGTCAAAATAAAATAAAAACAACATCCATTCCTCATCCTTACTCCTGGCAGTGCTCTCAGGCCGTCATTCTTTTGTTTTACTGTATGCTTTATACTGTTTTAGCATTGTGGCTTTTTCCACATCTTAGCTATTTAGTAACTTTTGTCAAATGGTTGGATGTAAAATTATCATAT